AAGGAAGAAGTGAAAACCCGTAGGCTGACTTACTTTTGATGTTTATGAGAATTTCGTGGATCCACAAGTCTGAATACATAATTGTTTCCGCTCTTGATGAGTCCAATAATATAGTGAAAGAAATAGTCCTTATGTTTTATTTTGTATTTTGCAATTACTTCTGGGCTCAATATATGTATGTTTTGAAACTCATATAAATTTGTAAAGAATTTGTAATGATTTTATTTTGCTGCATAAATTTTATTATGCATTTGTTATTCTTAATCTATATCTGACATCTATTTACCTTAATTAGCACTTGAAATGTCACAACATCTAGTTCAGTCCAATCCAATTCATGTTTAATGAATCATATAATATTTAAAACAAGCTTTATTCATTTTTCTTCTTTGCTGTAATCTTATACCACATTTGGGATTTCTCACATCAATGTGAAAGATTTAATGCAGGAAAAGAAAATCAAACATAGTCTATACTTCAATTATGAAATTATATTTATCATGATTACATTGAATATCAGAATTAACCATATAAACAAATTCTCCTTCATTTACAGAGTCAATCTATAACATCATCTCACCCTCAATCCCCAAAAGCAAAAACAAGAGTAGATGAAATAACTTCATGAAAATTAAAGACTCCCGATAAAGAAACATAACAATGCAACAAGGAAAACCAAAACAAGCCAACCCAGTCTTATACAGTATTGCTTGTCTGGAATGAATAAATAAAGTAAACAAGAACTTGGAAGGCTGCAAAGAAATTTTTAAAAAAATCAGACAGCAGAAAGTGTCGAAATATCACCATGGTGCAGGAAGAGAATTCACTGCAAAAACACAAAAGTTTAAGACAAACGCAAAATGTTATGTTCGCTAAAAAAGATAAAATTAGATGTAAAGCAGATATCTTTGCTCAATGCAATTTATCCTCCACAACCTTCAAAAACAATGAGCCAGTTTTCCCTGTATCTCACATGGCTACATCCTTAATAAGCTACTTTTTCGTGTAATGAAGTATATATGCTGCAATTTTACTCATTTTCTTTTTCAGCATTACATTGATCATTCAGGAGATTAGCTAATTCCATTAAGTAATTAGATAATGATTTGAAATTTCTTTTCCTGACGACTTGAGTCACATTATGTACTATAACATAAAAAGTCCTCTAGACAAGGAGTACATGGGTGAAATTCCCTTAGGAGGGGGCGTCATGATAAAAGAAAAGTATGACTGCCTAGCATTACATAACCTCAGTTATACTCACAATCAACATTGCAAGGAAGTTCTGAACAAGGAAGATCAAGAAATCTCTCAGGTAAAAAGCGAAGGCTTAACAATTGAGCACACTTCCAGAAAAAGGAAAAACAGAGCTTGGGTTTTTCTTTTGTGTTTTCTTTTTTAGGGTGGAGGGAAGGCACAGTAAAATTCTCTTATTCTCTTGGAAAAGACAACAGTTAAAATGTAATAAAGAATCACAAGGAAGTTGAATCTTACATGAGTTGAAAGACAGGATGTTATCTAACAATTCAAGCTACAATCACAGAATGACACCATAAACAATTACAAGGGGAAAATCAAACAAGAAAAAAGGAAAATAACATAATACGATATGGAGATAGTTAGAGATGAAAACATAATTTCCTCTACCATTAAGCCATTAAACTCTTACCAAGCAGCCATGTAAAAGAATCCTTTTAATACTAGCTCAAACAAAATGTACTCTGTATTAATCAAGAACTTGGGTAGTCAACCGAAGGAATAGCAGAAATTCAACTTACATTTTAATGGTAAGCCTAACAAGAATTACATTTTGAGTTTATTTTCCATCTTCCTTAGAGCCATCGGGATCTGATTCACTGGCATTATAACCTTCAGAAACCCAAAAAAAAAAAAAAAACCAACTAGGTTGAGCAGATCAAAAGTTAATCAAACAGCATGAAAAATGAAGGGCCAGAAGGACCAAGGAGAAGGAAAAAGAGAGCAACTACCTGGATGTTTATCGCCTGCTTTCCAAACTGAAGAACGGCCTTTTGAAGCTCTATCTATCCAAGCACGACCCTTATTTTATAAAGACATTATTTATTCATAAAAAATATGACAGAAATATAGTCTTTAAGATAAGAACAAGGACGATTAACTAATAAAAGGAAAATTAAGCATCACTTAGCTTCTTAGCTACCAAGTTAAGAGAAAATTATGAAAGACTGAAGCTTTCTCGCATTCAGACAACATTGAACTCAAATTTTTGTATCACACAACCATGACACTGTTCACCAAATAAAAATGCCATAAAAAAAAAAATTAGTGAAAAGAGATTTTTTTCTCTGGGGAAAAGAATCAAATACCTTTTGGGTATCTCTGGTTACACCGTAGCCAGTGTTATACATCTGACCAACCAAGACCTGCATGGCGATATCACCAGCTCTGGCCTCCTTGAGTGTCTCTTCAAACCACCTCTTTACACAATCAGAGACCACAGCAGACAAAGGCACCTTACCCTCCATTCCTTTCTGCTTCGCTCGCCCGGGGTCGACTCTGACCCCGCTCGTCCTCCCCGCTTCCTTGACAGAAACTCCGTTTCTCGATATGGGTTTCGCGCGTTCTGCACGCGGAGGCTTGTCGAATGAGACTATTCTGGAAAATTCATGGAGTCTGGTCGTGCAAGGAAGTGATTTTCCCATATAAACAAAAGGGAAAAAAAGAGAAGGAAAAGCTGAGATTTTTAATTTTTTAAAAAAAAAAAAAAACGTTTTTTTAGTGATACGAATTAGGGAGAAAGTGAGCTTGTGCTTGCTTTTTGAGCTTTTAGATGTTTTCTTTTATGTGGAATCATGCTGGCTTGGTGTTTAGATCTTTCTTCTTCGAGAAAAAGTACAGAAGTTTGGGATTTTTATTTGATAGAACACACGGACATGGACATATTTTTTCAAGCAAAAATAAAGTTGAATTTAAACTTTAAGCCTATATTTTTATTAAATAGAGCAAAACTAATATCTTATACCAGGTGGAGAGTTGATGAGTTATTTTCTGCATTAAAAATATTATGATTGCTGTGATTTTGAATTTGGATAATGCATTTTTCTACGTCTTCTTTTAAAAATGGTTGTGTATTTATTATCTAATAAATAAAATATATGTGTTTCTGTTAATTATTTTACATTAAATAGAAATTGAATGTAAGAGGTTAGATGGAAACAAACCTACAAATCTAAATTTGTTGATGTTAAATTGGGGGAAATGGCTACATTTATTGGGTTTGTTAGACTCCCATCATAGCCATAAAAATCACTAGTGGAAAAAAAGCTCATGAGTTGTATTTTTATTTTTTAAATATATATATATATATATATATATACAACTTTTTGAATTCAAAGGGTACTAAAAAGTAAAAACAACAAAACCCTTCTGTCTCCTAATTAAAAAAAACAGAAATTTTCTATATATTTACCCAATTCCTGTTCCTTTCTTGGCCCTAATATTTTGCTCTTGATTATTGAAGAACACCCAGTTGGATTTTTCTTTTGGATTTCTTCATTGAGGTGTGTAGATCATTCAACAAAACCCAGTTGAATTTTCATTTTGGATGTCTTTCATTTTTTTCATTCTCTGTAATCATTTTTTTTATATATATAATTAAGATTATTGAATGTGAAGTTTTATGTCTTTTTCAACATCATTATCATCGAAAATGTTGATATTGTTTGGAAAATTATTTTTATTTTTATTTTTTTAATAATATTCGCAATTTCAATGTTGAATAGTTTGATTTTTGATGTGTTGAAAAAATTTTAATTATGAATTTCTTATGACTTAGTAGATTCATCTAATCTGGGTTCATATCTTAAATTGTAAATCAATTTTGTTAATCTTCGCAAGAAATCTACCTTGGTATTAATTATTTCAATGATTGAGGCTTATATATATATATATATATATATTATATGTGAAAAATATTTTTCAATGACCTAACTGCCGCGTTTTCATCATTCAAAACAGCTCTCGAGGAAACTTTGACGAACGCTCGTTTTCATTTGGCAAATCATTCCATTTCTTAGCTTGTTATATAAGCAGATCAAGCAAGCAATTCTGCAACAACATCACCTTTTTCTTCTTCTTCTTCTTCTTCTTCTTTGAGGTGTATCCATGACAAAGCAAAAGGTCGAATGGGGAGTTGGGGATCCGACCATCAACGTCGTTGGGGATCGATTCTGTAACCCTCACCCTCTGGAGCTATCTGTGAAGAGGAAAATGGGTTTGTCGCTCACCACATACGACGTCTATGATGTTAGCGGAAATCTGCTTCTCCAGGTCGATGGTGGTGTCTGGAGGCTTGATAGGAAACGGGTCATGCGCGACCCGGCTGGCTTCCCTGTCCTCACCATGCGCGGAAAGGTCTATTCTCTTTCCTAATTTCTCTCCTCACAGCTTATGGATTAGACAGCAGTAGAGTTATAACTTTCTATTCTTTGTTTTGCTGGAATCAAATTCTAGTTCTTTCGTTTCACATGATTGAATTCTAGTTCTTTCGGTTTGTAATTTTTCTGTTTGAATTCGTCTTAATCTTAATCTTTCGGAATGAATTTCTGATATGGGTATTGAGCGGGGTTAGATAATGCTAGAAAAATGAAGAGTTTTTGACACATAAGTCATAGATTATGTTTGTGTAGAAAATGATTTCAACAGCGATCACTATATGTTTACTCGTGCCTGCTCATTTTTTATGCAAGGATTGAATATATGCAGAAAATAATGAAAACCCAGAAATGGTCACCAAATATATGTATACATGTGGATCTATATATACATATAGATATATATGAAAAGTGTGTTCATATATATATATATAAATGAAAATTCTATTTGACTGCTCGATTGTATTGGAAGGTCTGTTGTTTCTTAGAGCTTATATCCATACAAGAAAAGGTATGCAGAGAATGATTGGAATAAGCAATCAACACATGTTCTTGATTGTAATATGCACAAATGAATGAAACAGCATGTTTATGCGTAGGGGGGGGTCTCTTTGTGTATGTTTGTATGACTGCAAATACTAGTCAAAAGAAGATTTTATTAGAAGCTCTGTTTTCTCTAGAGCTTTCATACAAGAAAGAATATATAGAAAAGTATTATGGTATAAATGATAGATCGATCCCCTCAAGGAAAAAGGATAGATCAAGTCATTTTTTATAATCTTTGAGTTTTTGGAATAATTGGTGAATCTATTATTTCAAATTTTGTTAAGCGAAAGGTGTAGACGAAGTATAAAGTTCAAATTTTGTTATTCACATTTTTAACCTTGTGCTTAGTGGAAAAGTTTAAATCCTAACTAGCCTATTGACATTACTCCTGAGGGAGCTTGTGAGAGCATGTTAGATTATAAGTGATACATGAAGTGACTTTTTCTAAGTTTAACCTCTTAAAATAATTCGATGTAATCAATTATTTCACACAATAAATTATGGGAAAAAGAAGTTGATATAAGTTCTTGATTTTAATATGCAGAAGCTAACGAGAAACCAACATATCTATGCATATGCGTGTGTTTTAATGTTTGTGAAAAAGCTAATCAAGAAGATTTGTGTTTTGATCTGTGTTTATGAATACTTGAAAAGTCTTTGACATGGAGTGATGTGTTGCTTCTTGTTCAGGCACTCTCACTGAGAGACAAATGGAGTGTTTACCATGGCGAAAGTAGCGAGAACAGTGATTTAATATTCTGTGCACAGCAATCTAAAGCTCTGAAATTGAAATCAGAATTTGATATCTTCTTAGCTAACAATTTGGGGAAAGAAGTTCGTGATTTCCGGACTTCTGGAAGTTACACCAATTTATCCTTCAAAGTCTACAAAGACAATGCTGTCATTGCTCGGGTAACTTTCACTTCCTTAGTTTGTATTACTCCAATACTCTGTTTAATTTGCCTTGAGTTAATTTTTTACAATTAAGTTTTTTTGCGCTTCTTGCATCCCTATTAAGAGGTTGATTCTATTATTTTTCTTATTAGTAGGTTAATTATGTTGGTATTGATGTTCAATTTGGTTGAGTTAATCCTTTACGATTATGTTTCTTTACGCTTCTTATATTTTTGTTACGAGGTTGAATGTGTTATTTTATTATTAGATGATTATGAATGTGCAGATGTCACTTAATTATTTAATAATTAATGATTTATAAATAAAAGTTTAAAAAATTACTTTTAACTTATGATTCATATATATTTGTCTAATGGAAAATTAGTTTTCACAGGTAAACCATAAGTACTCGTGGAAAAGCTTTAAAGGCCTAGACACATACAGTGTAAAAGTGAATCCGGAGGTTGATTATGCATTCATCATCGCGCTGCTCGTGATGATCGATGAGACTGAATATCAATCTTGATTTCTCTTTTCTTTTCAAGAAAAATTTCTTTTTCGTTCTCAGATTAGCACACAGAAATCTTGTTCTTGAAGAAATACCATATACTGATGGAGATAGAAATATAGTTTTCTCTTCTTTCTTTTGAGGGTTGAGTTTGTGTAATATATGTTATTTATAGTTTGAAATTATGTTTTTTATGTATTTATTTATTTATTTAAACTAGTAAATAAATCTAATTTGATTTTTTGTGTGTATTAGTTTTCATTATCGAGAACTTTTTACTTATATGCTCGGAATTTTGGTCGCAATCCCATTTGTCCAACAAAAATCTAGTTGAGGAAAATTTTTTCTTTTTAAAGTTATCTTTTTTAGCTCATATTTATTCTTTTTTTTTTATTAAGAAGTTTATAATATTTGTGATACTATAATTTTTTTTGTTGGGATAATCGTAACGAGTTAAAAAATTAATTCAATCTTTTTTACAAGAAATATTTTCAATTTCTCTAACCATTTTTTCTAACTTAAATGACTATTCATAAAATGAAGCAAATATGGGTATGAAATTACAACTTTGTAGCTCAATATATATATATATATACACACACACAAACACATATTTCAACCAATTTTTTTTTTTTTTTTGTAATTTCATGAGATTGAAAATTGGAGACAAAATTGAAAGGAAAATTGAATGAATTATATTCATTCAAATATTTAGTAGTGATCTTCTTATCACAATATATATATATATATATATATATATATGTACATGGGTGTGTGTATATATAAAAGGCTAGATAGGCATCATAATGGGTGATCCCTCGAAGAGAATATATTGATTGGATATATAGAAATTAAAGAATATACAAACAAAATGTGTGATACATTCGCATATGTCGATATAAAGGGATCACACCCATTTGTAGAACAATTCTTAAAAGAGAAATTAAACATTCGCATATAATTAAAAGTATTATTCCACATACATTAATTCTCAAAATAGACCGCCAATACATTTGCAAGTGCATTAAATTGGATTACTTCATCATAAATAATTTTAACATACCAAGTGGGAAATTCATTCCATTAATCACCCCCAGTTGTATTAGTAAAAATAATTTGTAATTAATTACTTTAAATTTCAAATTAATCTAAAATCTTGTTAAAAGAAATTTTCCCATACCGGGAAGTGTTCTTTCGGCACACGCAAACTCAGCTTGAAAATCTGGAGCCCACCAACACTGTTTCGTGCTGCGCGGGCCCCGCTTTCACCAGTTCCTAACCAGGATGACTGGTGGTTGCCTACCCAGATGAGATCGGACGGCCAGATTTATCCCACCGCGTCACTTTCGTGATCGGAGAGGGACCCACCGGATCAGGCACGAGCTGTAGGTCCGTGAGCCAGATAATGAACGTACACGTGTCTGCCGCAGAATTATTTGACGGAATGATTAGAAAATTCCAAGGTTAGAGGGGCTGCTCAGTTATAGC